TCTCCCTGATTTATTTTTCTGCCGTAGCATAACCAGTATTGACAAATTATTATACTAAAAGCTGGAACTCAATAAGGTGGTGTGGTGGTTCAGCTTGTATGTCAGCTTGGCTGGACTGGTTGAGTGGCTGGGCAGCTAGTGGTAGTTATTCTCCATGATGAGACTGGCAGTCAACTCCATGGTGGGCTTTACCACAAGCAGCTGAGTAGCTGCCTTTGGGATGTGGTCTGCTTCTTATATATAAGGAGAAACCTTGGGGATAGTCTCTCGCTTATGGCACCTTGAACCCTGCATGTAGCCATGTCGTTCAGCAGCCTGCCATGCTCTGCTGATCTGGGGACCTCCAGTGGACTTGAATTAGTGGCCTGCCATGTAGTTTGGTAACATCGGAACTGTGCCTTTTTACTTGTCAACCTTGGGCTTGGCAGCCTCAGCAGCCAGCAGCTGTCTGAGTGAAGAAAAGCCTGTAGCTTCAGTGGGCCGGGAGCTGGAGGCAGAGCTGAAGCCCAAGGTTGAGGAGCTTTCACCCAGCCCCTGGAGACTGGCACTTTGAACTTGGACTTAAAGCCTGAAAACTGTAAGAGAATAAACTCCTGTTTGTTAAGGCCATCCCATTTGTGGTATATTCTTGTCAGAGTGGCACTAGGGAACCAGAACAGGTAGAAAGCTGTTAAAGAGGGAAAACGCAAATATTTTCCACGAATAGAGAGAGGTAGCAAAGTGGTAAGACTGCACCCTGTCTAGGAAAACTTGTAAGACCCGGAAAAACAAAATCACGGCAGTCCCATCAAGTTCTGACTCTCACAGGTTTCACTGTATTCCTTTTTCTTTTTAAATATTTATTTCTGAATAAATAGACAAACCAACACATCAACTACAAATCAGCCCAGTGAGGGAGCATGCCTTTGTTTTGTTCATGGCCATGTCCCCAGGGCCCAGTACAGTAGCTGGCACCTGGTAGATGTTTACATTTTTGTTGAATGAATAAGTTCTTTGGAGAATTTGTTGAAATCATAGGCGTTTACAGTGCTGTCTTCTGTTACATGGAATTGTATTGGAATTAGGCAAAGTAAGATGACAGATTCACAGCACATACTCGGTGAGCGCTAGTTTCTAGCTGAATATTACAAGAATTGGTACTTGAATCAAATTTCTGTTTTTTTAAGGCATTGAGGTGAGAGCAAGGACTCAGTAAACTGAAGGCCCTTTTCTAAAGACCCCCGAGGTAGATCAGAAGTAGATAAGGGAAACCAGTGTCTATTGCTAAGAAGGGTAGGGCTCTCTTCGTCAGCCTGATCTCTGCAGGAGAGACTGAGGTGGTTCACAGCTGTTGGCAAACAGCTTCCAGCTCCTTCTGAAAATGGAATCTCTCATGATCAGAAATAATCTTGAGGGCATTGCTTATGGTGAATGTCCATTGATTTAAGCAACGGCCTGTGTAGGTGGCGTTATGCACGAAAGACACTTCACATCAGGGGTCCTAAAGCTGCCCTTACCTGTGCAGTCAGGTAAGCACAACACAGTCAGGACCAATGACAGCAACTCAGACAGTATAGAACTTTCTCATAGGGAAACACAGAGTCAAAAACAGGGTTTTCTCTGAAATAAAGCCTGGGGTGGGGGCAACTTGACTTACTTTTAAGTGTATTATACAGTATTAATATGTATAGAAATTGATAAGCAGAATATAATGAACTAGTACATTCTGCAGACAGTTTGACATACCTTGCACAGTTGTCTATCCAATAGCCCTGGGGTTCTCATAGGTGCTTTTCTAGAGTAGTGGTTGGCAACCTTTTTCTATAAAGGGTCTGATGGTACACATTTTAGGTTTGCAGACCATGTGGTCTTCGTTGCATCTCCTCAGCCCTGCATCAAATGCTGCCATTGGAGGGAGTGCAAAAGAAGCAACACAGACATTACACAATGGACATGTCTCTGTTCTAGTAGCACACGATTTATGGACACAGGAACTTGAACTGCATATAATTTTCTCATGACGTGAAATAGTATTTCAAAAAAGCAAAATGATTCTTAGCACTTGTTGTTATTGTTGGGTTCTGTTGAGTCGATTTTGACTCATAGTGACCCGTGTGACAGTAGAAGTGCCCTATAAGGTTTTCTTGGCTGTCATCTTTTCAGTTAGCAGCCTGGCACTTAACCACTGCACCACCATCCTTAGCACATGGGCCGTACCACACAGGCCCCGGCCGGCTCTGGCCCAGGGCCACAGTTTGCTGATGCCACTGGGGAGCAGTGCTGCCCCATAGAAGTGCCCGTGACAATGGAAATGTTCCTGATGTGTATCCTTCTGTTCATCATGACTGTTTGAGCACTTGTAATATGGCTAGTGTGACTTAGGAATAGAATTTTTAATATTTAATTTTAACTTAAATTTAAACCACCTCATGTGGCTGTTATTACTAGGTGCTGTCAAGTTGATTCCGACTCGCAGCATCTCCATGTGACAGAGTGGAACTAAGTGCCCCGTAGGATTTTTTCTAGGCTGGGATCTCTATGGGAGCAGATTGCCAGGTCTTTCCATTAGCAGCCAAGTACTCTCTGTTGTGCCACCAGGGCTCCTTCCCGGGTAGCCAGTGGCTGCTGTAGGGGGCCTCCCAGCTCTGGAGAAACATCTTTGCATGTGCAGCGTCAGGCGTAGAGAGCGTTCACTGGAGAGTTATTCGTAATGGCAAAAACTGGAATTCAGGCATATTCACCCAGTGGAAGATGATCTTAGAAGTTAAGAATGAACAGTCCCTGAGTGCTCCCTTTATGCCAGGCGGTGTTGTGAGCACATTGCCTGTATTAACGCCTTGGATCTCAGGACTGTGTGTGTAGTATGTAAATGAGTGAACCAGCTCTGTACATCAACAAGGGTGAGTGAATCTTAGATACACAAGATTGAGTGAAAAAGCAAGTCACGAAAACTGCATACCATATGATACCGGTTTTTAAATGTGAAAAAACAAGCAAAACAAAGCCACAGATTGTTCAGGAATATGCAAACAGTAGGTAAAACCATTAAGAAAAGCACAGAAGCTCAGACTGTGCCTCCTTTGCGGGGAGAGAAGGGTGCGTCGGGTAGAGAGGCTGTCTGGTGAGAGGCAGCTGGGCTCTTTTCTCTTCACCTGCTTCTGTAGCATCGCTGTAGCGTGTGGTGGGCAGGATCTAGGCTGACTCGGTGGAACCGTGTTTTCAGGCAACACAAGCATGATTAAGGTCGCAATGCTGCAGCTAGTGTGTAACCTGGTTTCAGTTCACGCTGAAGGAAACGTTCCTGAAGACATTTTATAGGATTATATTTGTTGCCGAAGTTGGTACTTCAGATTGGAAAAGCTTTGTTATTTATTCAGTTCAACAAGTGCTGTGGAACCTTTAGCTCCAATTTTTTGTCCTCATTACTGATGAGAGATGAATGTTAACAGAATCTGAGAGAAATTCACATGAAAATGAAGCTCCCCAAACTGTAAATGAACAGATACGCTTAATTAATTATTACTATCAGCATGATTGTTACAATATGGAGAGTGTTTTGAAACATTGTAGCGGTATTTCATCAACAAGTAACTTACCATTTCAAAACTCTGCAGTAGTCCATGGTAAGTTGGATTCAAAGTGGCAGTTTTGTTATTGCGGATGCACTTTAGCTGTAGCACTTCCAGCAGCTGGCTACTGAGCTCTTCCTATTGTATGTCCAGCTTTTCAACTTAATATGTGTACCTTTGACTTTTTTTTTTTCCTTATTGTTCCGTCTTCATTCTTTCCTGTATACTGACATGGGTTTATCTTTTCTCCCTTTAGAGAGTTTTGAGGTGACAGTCACCAAAGAAGGTGATAAAGGGTTCTTTCTATCCCTCTTGTGAATATTAACCCACTAACTTTGTTTATAAAATTGGGAATCAGCCCTTGAACAGAAAATGTTGTCATGCTCTTTTGCCCCTATTTATTCTCCTTTGTTTCTATTTTTAAATATATTGATGGAAATTGTATGTAACCAAACCCTTGGTTAGAAATATCTGGAAATCAGACATCCATTTGAACTATATGGATAGTACTGCACATTAAAAAAAGGCAGAACGTAGAGTTTTAAGAGAATTTTTGCTTCGTAACAGTTTCCTATTAGTTTGGAATTTCAACAGAGATAAGTCTTATTTCTGCATGAAATATATTTGTGAAGTTTTATATATACATTAGGACACTGCTACTTGATTCCCCCATGGGCAAGAATGGAAAAATAGATTTTCGCTCCTAATGAAGCTTGTAAGCCCACTTCGATGCAGTTAAATTCCGAGGCAGGTTTCTCTTGCAGGTTTCCTGGGGCAGTCTGAGGTCAAGTCTGGCACACCCCTCCCCACAGTAGACACTGTGTTTACAGTAGGTGTTAGCGGTTGAAATGGATGCCTGAAGACTTGGTATTTCTACCTTTCTCATTTAGTAGTTTGTTTTGATTCCCTAATTTTAGCCAGGCTCATTGCACAGGAAGACTTGCTTCTTCTGATTTTTTTTTTTTTTTTTTTTGACAGAATTTCTGTAATTGTGGTGCTGAACCTATATCTCACGCTTTTTCCTCTCTCGACACTTAACTGTGTGTTTTAGCCTTCTCTCTGGTCCAAACCAAAACCCTGCCCCGCTCTCCCCAGTAGGCGGGCAGTCTCTGGGTGTTAACAAGGCCTTGGCTGTTTGCTAATGAGATCGACTCTGACCCTAGAGCCGTCTAAGTACTCCTGTGAAATGCCTGTCTATGTTTTCTCTCTCTCTTTTGTACTCCTGCATGAATGGATGCAAAGCAAACGAGTTGCTTGGAAAGTCAGAACTTGCTTCTTTTTACTAAAGCCCCAGAACTTACCCATGTTAAAGCACAATGCCCTGGCTTTGCCCACAGCCCCCCAAACCCCTGGCTGCCGAATTGTTGTCATTTGTTCTCTTTGGGGGGCGGGGGGAAGGTGAAGCAGGTCTGTATGGAAGAAATTCTAACCTCTGCTGCTTTGACTCCCCAGGTGAGATTTGTGGATTTAAAATTCACGGGCAGAATGTCCCCTTTGATGCAGTGGTGGTGGATAAATCCACTGGTGAGGGGCTGATTCGCTCGAAAGAGAAACTGGACTGTGAGCTGCAGAAGGACTACACGTTCACCATCCAGGCGTATGACTGTGGGAAGGCGCCTGATGGCACCAACGTGAAGAAGTCCCATAAGTAAGTAAGCTGGACAAGGAGCGGAAATAACTTACCAGGAAGTGTGTGTGTGTGTGTATGTGTGTGTGTGTGTGAAGGAAATAGCAATGACCTTTGCCCTTGCCCCCAACACTTCGTGTTTTTGAATGGTGAAGCAGAAGATGGTTCTTAATTTTCCATAATGAGAGTGTCAGCTCTCTGAGGGCAGGAATCATGTCTGTTTTGTTTACTCCTGTGTATGGCTCCTAGCAAGACTCTGGCACATCTTAGGTGTTGAATTAATAATAATGACTAATTTGATCTCACTAATTACTCTGTTCCACCACTCGTCTGTCAGTTTGTCGTACTTGGTGACTTGTGTGTTGGTGTGAGGCTGGAGGCTATGCCACCAGTATATCACATACCAGCAGGGTCACCCATGGTGGACAGGTTTCAGCGGAACTTCCAGACTAAGACAGACTCGGAAAAAGGAAGGGGCCATCCACTTACCAGAGGTTTGGCTGGTGAAAACCTTATGAATTGCAGTGAAACACTGATATATTATAGGGCAGTGTTTGATTCTAGTTGGAGTGGGCTCCATGGTACCTAACAACAACAGCAGCAATTAACTCTATTAAAGCAACTAAGACTCTACACTGGAAATTTGAAAAGCCCACTTTTTCCCAAGGAAGATAATTTGTTGTTATACTTACCTTCCCGTAAGTTCTAAGGACATAACAATAATTAGTGCTCTTGGCAGTGTCCTTTGTCCCCCACCCTGGGTACATCTGTATGCTTCCTGCCAAGTGAGAATGACTGGTAAATGGAGCAGGTGCCAGACAAGACAGTAGCTTTAGGATTCTAGTGTTTTCTCCACCACTTACTACTTTTGAAATTAGGCAAAGAATGTATTTTGTTAAGTCTTGCTTTCCAGTCTCCTAAGGAAGGGAGTATGTGGGTGAGACAATGTCATGTAAGGTCAGACCCAGTGGTGCTGGTCTGTGGGGGCTCTTAGTGGAAGTGCAGCTGGTGTGTGTCACCTCTCATCCTTTCCCATAATGTGATATTATTTTCCCATAATGTGATATTATTTTCCCTCATTTTGATCAGAGACCTTTTGTGATTCAGAAACAATCCCTGATTAGTAGCCCTTGAAACTGCCAGCTGTCCTTATTTGTAGTCTGCTCTGAAGTAGGATGAGCATGGTTCATGTGTGACTATTTCAATGTACAATCATTGTCAGATCAGAGAGTCTGGAAAACAAGTTGACATCACCAGTATAAACTAGTCCTTCTGCCCAATCCTAAGCCCCCTTATTATTCCTTCTGGATTAACAGATCAAGAGCAGAGCATTTGGTCCTTTTAGTACAGGTAGAGGTCATGTCACTATGACAACTATCTAAAGAGCCAGTGTGGAAAATCAGCATGTGAGCCACGAGGAAGAGCAAAGGCTCCGCTTCCCCAGCGTCCTTCCTGGATCCGTGATGGGTGGCAACCCAATAATGAGTCTAGTGGTCTCACCTTTGTCGTTAGAGTAGAGCAGAATTTGTGTTGACTCTCATGATCAGGCCTTCCCAGGCTTTCTTGTTTTCTTACACATTCTTCCTTTGGCTCTGTTTTTTGGATTTTGCAATAAAATATCCATTTTTCACTTGATGATACAGTTCTCCCTTTTGCATGCTTTGATACTGCATCCCCTGTATGGCTAAAGAACAGCCAGAATCTATTTTATATTTGTGATTTTCTTTTACTAGTTGACTTATTTTTAGGACCTGGAAGAATTGACCCAAATCCCTATTTTAGCTTTCTGTTGTTTCCTCCCTGAATTAAAAACAATGAACAGTGTGTCCCTTTTATCATATGATTTCATGAAAACAGAGTATCTGAAGAAGGAAATTTAAAAATAGGACAGAATCAGTATCCTTTGGGTAGAGAAAAGTAGCTTTCTTTTCTTCTTCTACCAGAGCAGCTGTCCACATTCAGGTGAACGATGTGAATGAGTATGCACCTGTGTTCAAGGAGAAGTCCTACAAGGCGACGGTCGTCGAGGGCAAGCAGTATGACAGCATCCTGAGAGTGGAGGCGGTGGATGCAGACTGCTCCCCCCAGTTCAGTCAAATTTGCAGCTATGAAGTCGTCACCCCAGATGTGCCATTTACTATTGACAAAGATGGTAAGAACAGAAAAGCATGTTTTTCCCTGCAAGGGCTTTTGATCTTGGGGCAGACACAGTCCCTTCCAAGCCTGTCAGCTCTAAGCCTTATGGTTCATAAGTTTCTTCATGCACCATTCAGTGACATTGAATATATTCTTCAAGTTGTACAACTATTCTTTTCTAAGTTGTTCTTCTATCATTAACATAAACTCACTGTCTCCTAAAGTTTCTGTCTAATGTTTTGAATTGTTGTTACCAGTTTGATCACATATGTTGTTAGGTACCATCAACTCAGTTCTGACTCATAGTGACCTAACATATGACAGAACGGGACACTGCCTGGTCCTGTGCCATCCTCACAATCTTGGCGATGCTTGAGCCTGTTGTTGCAGCCGCTGTGTCAGGCCATCTTGTTGAAGGTCTTACTCTTGGCACTGGCCCCTTCTGACAACCTGACCAAAGTAGGTGAGGTGAAGTCTGGCTATTCTTGCTTCTAAGGAGAATTCTGGCTGCACTTCTTCCAGGACAGATTTGTTCGTTTTTCTGGCAGTCCATGGGTATTCAGTGTTCTTCACCAGTAACACAATTTAAATGTACCGATTCTTCTGTGGTCTTCCTTATTCATTGTCCAGCTTTCACATGCATATGAGGGTGTTGAAAATATCATACCTTAGTCTTCAAAGTGACATCTTTGTTCTTTAACACTTTAAAGAGATCTTTTACAGCACATTTGCCGAGTGCAATACATCATTTGATTTATTTTATTTTTTTCAAAAAAATTTTTATTGTGATTTGGGTGAAAGTTTACAGAGCAGATTCACTTTCCATACAACAATTCACATAAACTTTGTCTCATGACATTGATTAAAGTTTACCACAGTGCAACAGTTCCCCTCCCACTTCCTCCCCATAGTTACTGCTTCCCTGTGTCCTTTCCTCCCATGTACTCTTGCCCCCTGAGCTCTCTCCCTGTGCATAAACAGGACTTCTATTCTCCCATGATTGATCTCTCCAAGGAGCTTATATACCTATTGTAAATGTTCAGCTCATATGCCTGTCTTTTGTTTGGCTGGAAGCCACAGGAGTGGGTTCAATTCCAGCCCTGAAGGGCAGTTAGGAGCCATAGTCTCAGTGGTTATAACAGGCTCTCAGGCTCTATTAAATCAGCAAACCTACATAGATCCCCCTCTGCATGGTTGACAGTGGTAGCCAGACACTATCTAGTTCTTCTGGTCTCATAGTCGTACAGGCTGAGGATCGCATGGTCTACCAGTCGCTTGGACTAATTGTTTCCATGTGTCTTTAGTTTTCTTCATTCTTCTTTGCTCTGGATGAGGAGAGACCCATTGTTGCGTCTAGATGGCTGCTTTCAAACTTTTAAGATCCCAGTCACTACTTGCCAAAGTAGGATGTGGAACAATGTTTTGTGTAGTATGTTACGCCAAATGAGCTTGATGTCCCCTGCAACTATGGTCTCAAGCAAACAGGTCCAACTACTCACTCCCTCTGGGTAGCTGGCTGTGGCCAAGAAGTCACTACAACCTTGCCCCTTGTCTGCTCTACTTTATACCTGGGAATTCTTATAGAACATACCAATACACTTGTAGAAATTTTGTCTGCCAACCCTATACATGGTCTTGGGCACACTCTCCCCTGCATATATATACCTAATAGTTCAGCATATCCACCCATCTATTTGCCTGTATATCAGTGTTTGCCTTCAGTGACAACACAGTACTGTGTGTCCAAAAGGGCTTGTCATCATTGCTGTCTGTACCTCCCACACCTTTCTTTGTCTTCCTCTTCCTCAATGGCACCATGTTGATTACTCACATTTGGTATATTGCCCTTCTCTTCACCCAAATCAGTACCTGTATCTGCCTATCTAGCAGTGGTCCCTTCCTTCTCTTCCCCTCCCACCCCTGGTAACCAACAAAGAAAATTTCCTTCCATGTATAAACCTTTCCTTGACTTTTTAAAACAATGAACTAAGACATTATTTGTCCTTCTGTGATTGACTTATTTCACTCAGCATAGTGTCCTCCAAGTTCATCCATGTTATGAGGTGTTTTGCCAATTTCTACATTATTCTTTAGGGTTGCATAGTATTCCTTTTTGTGTATGTACCATAGTTTGGTTATCCATTCTCCTGTTGATGGGCACCTCGGTGGTTTCCATCTTTTGGCTATTTTAAATAGTGCTGAGATGAACATGGGTGTGCATATATCTGTTCTTGTCTTGGCTCTCACTTTAGAATATATACCTAGTAATGGAATGGCTGGGTCAAATGGTATTTCTGACTTTTTAAGGAATCACCATACTGCTTTCCACAGTGGTTGTATTATTTTACAGTCCCACCAACACTGTATGAGAGTCCCAGTCTTCACATCCTCTCAAGCATTGATTATTTTCTGTCTTGTTGAACTTTGCTGGTAGTGCTGGGGCAAGATGGTATCTCGTTGTTTTGATTTGCATCTCTTTAATTGTTAATGGGAGCTCTGGTAGCATAGTACCTAAGGCACCTGACTGTTAACCAGAAGGCTGATGGTTCAAACCCACCAGCCACTCCTTGGAAGGAAGGTTGAGCAATCTACTTCAGTAGTGATACTGCCTCAGAAACCCAAGGAGGGGTCGCAATGAGTCAGGTTGACTCGATGGCACATAACAGCAACAATGACAATGGCTAATGATCGTGAGCATTTCTTCATATGTTTGTTGACCGCCTGAAAATCCTCCTTGGTGAAGTGTCTATTCATTTCTTCTGCCCATTTTTAAATTGGATTATTTGTCTTTTTGTTGTTGAAGTGTTGGAGTTTTCTATACATTCTAGAGATAAGTTCCTTGTCAGATAAGTCATTGCTGAATATTTTTTCCTAATCTATAGGTTCTCTTTTGACTCTTTCGGTGAAGTCTTTGGAAGCACATAAAAATTTAATTTTTAGAAGGTCTCATTCATCTAGTTTATCTTCTGTTTGTGCATTTTGGGTTGTGTTTGATAGTCTATTTATGCCATATATTGTTAGTTGTTACGTGCTGTTGAGTTGGACGCAACTCATAGTGACCCCTCCTTGGGTTTCCGAGGCAGTATCACTATGGAAGTAGGTTGCTCCATCTTCCTTCCAAGGAGTGGCTGGTGGGTTTGAACCGCCAACCTTCTGGTTAGGGTCCTTAAATTTGCCCCTAGTTTTTTCTTGAGGAACTTTATAATTTTAGGTTTCACATATAAGTCTTTGATCCATCTGGAGTTAGTTTTTGTGTATGGTGTGAGGTATAGATCTTGTTTCATTTTTCTGCAAATGGATAGCCTGTTTTGCCAGCACCATTTGTTAAACAGACGATATCTTCCCCATTTAATGGATTTTGGCCCTTTGTCAAAGATCACTGACCATAGGTCTATGGATCTATTTCTGGGTTCTCAGTTCTATTCCATTGGTCTATCTGTCTGTCGTTGTACCAATACCAGGCAGTTTTGAGTACTGTGGCTGTATACTAGGTTTTAAGATCCAGGAGTGTGAGACCTCCTACTTTGTTCTTCTTCAATAACGCTTTGCTTATCTGAGGTCTCTTTCCTTTCCATATAAAGTTAGTGATTGGTTTTTCCATATTCTTAAAGACTGTTGATGGGATCTGGATTAGAATTGCACTGAATGTGTAGATTGCTTTGGGTAGAATTGACATTTTCACAGTGTTCAGTCTTCCTATCCATGAGCATGATATGTTCTTCCATTTATGTAGATCTCTTATGGTTTCTCAAAGTAATCTTTTATAGTTTTCTTTGTACAGGTCTTTTGTGTCCCTGATAAGATTTATTCCCAAGTATTTTATTTTTTTGGTAGCTTTATAAATGGTATTGATTTCCTTACTTCTTTTTCAGCAATCTCTTTGCTGATGTAGAGGAATCTAACTGATTTTTGAATGTTGATCTTGTATCCTACTGTGATGCTAAATCTCTCAATTAGTTCCAGTAGATTTTTTACTCAGTTTCTTGGATTTTCTAGGTATAGGATCATATCAGCAAATAGGGGTATTTTGACTTCTTCCCTACCAGTTTGGATGCCTTTGATTTCCTTTCTTGCCTTACTGCCCTGGTTAGGACTTCCAATACAGTGTTTAATAGAAGTGGTGATAGAGGGCATCCTTGTCTGGTTCCTGTTTGCATGGGGAATGGTTTCAGTCTCTCTCCATTGAGAATAATGTTGGCTGTTGGTTTTGCATGTATGCCCTTTATTATGTTGAGGAATATCTGTTTTACTTCTATATTGCTAAGAGTTTTTATCAGGAATGGGTGTTGGATTTTATCAAATGCCTTTTCTGCATCAATTGATATGATCACGTGCTTCTTTTCCTTTGTTTTATTTATGTGGTGGATGGCATTGATTGTTTTTCTAATGTTGAGCCATCCTTGCATACCTGATAGGAACCTCACTTGGTCATAATTAATTTTTTTTTTTTTTTAAATATGTTGTTGGAGTCTGTTGGCTAGGATTTTGTTGAAGATTTTTGCATCTGTATTCATGAGGGATATTGGTCTGTAGTTTTCCTTTTTAGTGATATCTTTGCCTGGTTTTGGTATCAAGGTTATGCTTGCTTCATAAAATGAATTTGGGAGGAATCCGTCCTTTTCTGTGTTTTGGAATAGTTTTAATAGAATTGGTGTCAGTTCTTTTCTGAATGTTTGGTAGAATTTTCCAGTGAAACCATCTGGGCTAGGATTTCTTTTTGTTGGCAATATTTTTATGACCTGTTCAATTTCTTCTTTTGTTATGGGTCTATTCAACTTTTCCACCTCAGTCTATGTTAGTTTAAGTAAGTAGTGTGTTTCTAGAAATCTGTCCATTTCTTCCAGATTTTCAAATTTGTTGGAGTACACTTCTTCATAGTGTCCTGATATTATCCTTTTTATTTCAGTTGGTTCTGTTGTAATGTCGCCCATTTTGTTTCTTTTTCATGTTATTTGTATTCTCTCCCTCTTTTCCTTTGTTAAATTTGCCAGTGGTTTGTCAATTTTACTAATCTTTTCAAAAAATCACCTTCTAGTCTTGTTGATTTTTTTCTGTTGTCTTTCTTTTTTCTGTGTCATTGATTTCTGCTCAAATCTTTTTCTTTCTTCTGGTGACTGTAGGCTTTTCTTGCTATTCTTTTTCTAATTGTTAGAGATGTTGGTTTAAAGTGTCAATTTTGGCTTGCTCTTCTTTTTTGATGTGTGCATTTATTGCTATAAATTGGCCTCTGATCACTGCTTTTGCTGTGTCCCAATGATTTTGGTATGTTGTGTTTTCATTCTTGTTTGATTCAAGGAATTTTTTAATTTCATTTTTTATTTCTTCTCCTATCCAGTCTTTCTTAAGGAGGGTGTTGTTCAATTTCCATGTGTTTGCTCTTTTTCCATTGATCTTCTTATTGTTGATTCCTAATTTTATAGCATTGTTATTTGAGAAGATGCTTTGCAGTATTTCAATGTTTTTAAATGTACTGAGGCTTGTTTTATGGCCTAACTGCTTCCCCTTTTATTCACCAACCACTAGTGCAGTCCTCTGTGCAGCTCCTGGCTAGTAGGGCCAATTTTTAAGTTAATTCTTAGGTCCTAACACCACTCTGCAATATCCAAGCTTTCCATGCCATCAGGATCACTGACAGACCACAACTCCGTATGTCTCCTTTTTTTTTTTTTGGTGCTTTCATGCAGATTCTTCTACTAGTTGGAGTTTAGTCCATCTCTGTATCCTTCCTTTCAAAGCTCAGGGCTCCAGGATTGTCTTCTGTATCTGTGTTAATCTGTATCCTTTGTTGAAGAGGGTCTGTGTAGTTTGTCTGCTTATTCCGCCATCTTCTTCATCTTCCATGTCATTTGATTTCTTGACTGCTACTTCCATGGGCATTGATTATTGGTCCAAGTAAAATGAAATCCTTGACAACTTCACTCTTTTCTCCTTTTATCATGATGTTGCTTATTGGTCCAGAGGTGTGTATTTTTATTTCCTTTTATGTTGAGATGTAATTCATACTGAAGGTTGTAGTCTTTGATTTTCATCAGTAAATGCTTCAAGTCCTCTTTCAGCAAGCAAGGTTATGTCACTTACATATCGCAGATTATTAATGAGTCTTCCTCCAGTCCTGAAGCTGCATTCTTCTTCATGTAGTCCAGCTTCTCAGATTATTTGCTCAGCATACAGATTGAGTAAATGTGGTGAAAGGATGTGACCCTCATCCATATCTTCCCTGAATTTAAACCATGCTGTGTCCCCTGTTCTGTAAGTAGTTCTTGAAAGAGCAGAGAGCTCAAGGCAGACATTTGTTACTATTGTAAAATCTGAACTGTTGTTCGACTCTTGTTTGGTTTTAAGAAGACTTCAGAGAATATTTTTGGTTTGAGGTTTAAAGTTTATCTCAGTCAGGGCAATAGCTTCAGGGATTCAGCCAACCTTCATGGGTTTAGGATGTCTGGAGTCCATGAGAATTGGAAATTCTATTCTGCAAACCCCCCCCCCCCCATTTTGATCTTCTGTGGAATCTTTGATCAAAACGGTAGCTGGGCACCATCCTGTTCTTCTGGTCTCATAGCCGAGGAAGCTGTTGTTCATGGAAGCATATTTAAACAATTCATAAAGATGGATTTAGTGTGGGTTTAAAGCACATGTACACCAGGTTAGTGTTATCTCAAGCATAGGTTTATTTCTGTATTGGTGTTTATAGGCTTGCAACACATGCATTTTATGTTTTAGCATAAGACAATGAAAGTAAAGAACTGGGTGAGTTTTTGTCTTCACTGTTGTTTCTTTTTTCTATAAGGTTATATAAGAAACACAGAGAAGTTGAACTATGGGAAAGAGCATCAGTACAAGCTGACAGTCACTGCCTATGATTGTGGAAAGAAAAGAGCCACAGAAGATGTTTTAGTAAAAATCAGCATCAAGCCCACCTGCACCCCTGGCTGGCAAGGTGAGCTGCATCCTCTTTTTTGCTTTCATACTTGTTCTTAAAATTCATACACCCTAGAATCCTAAAATGGGAGCTTTCCTTCTTTTCCGCCACCAATCTGTGGGCAATACAGGATGGAACAATAGGATTGAATATGAACCGGGCACTGGTGCTTTGGCCCTCTTCCCCAATGTCCGTCTGGAGACATGTGATGAGCCTGTCGCCTCTGTCGAGGCCACAGTAGAGCTTGAGACCAGCCATATAGGAAAAGGCTGTGACCGTGACACCTACTCTGAGAAGTCCCTTCACCGACTCTGTGGTAAGGACACCCCTTTGGTACAGGTTAGAGAGAACCTTTCACACAAATAGTTTGGCTGAGGAGTTGACACACTGTGTACATTTGCTGTTCATTATGAAAAACTGGAACCTACCAGCTGCTCAGGAGAAAGATGAGACAGTCTACTTTTGTAAAGATTTACAGCCTTCAAAACCCTATGGGGCAGTTCTACTCTGTCCTGTAGGGTCACGAAGAGTTAGAATCCATTCAATGGGGGTTTGTTTGTTTGTTTGATCTGACTTATCACTAGCCCGGTAACAGTTAGATTTAGTCAACTGGTTCTCTAATATAATTAAAATTTGTTATATGAGAATAAGCAAGAGAAAAAAATATACATTGTGATGGCCCACTCTGATAGGCATCTACTAGGATGTTTTGTGGTTCTCAATCTAAATATTTATAATAATCATGTACTCAAATAAATGTAAGTTTGGAGGTCTGGAGTATTTTCCGATTTAAACTGTGCATGCAATTATAACATATTAAACTAATTTTCTTTTCATGATACTATTACTTTGCATGGTTCTAAGTGAACATTCTCTCACAGAACAATTTGAACTTGTTGTTGTTGTTGTTGTTATGTGCCTTCGAGTCAGAGCCAACTCATAGCGACCCCTCCTTAGGTTTCCAAGGCAGTATCACTATGGAAGTAGATTGCCCAACCTTCCTTCCAAGGAGTGGCTGGTGGGTTTGAACTGCCAGCCTTCTGGTTAGCAGTCAAGTGCCTTAGGCACTATGCTACTAGAGCTCCTAATTTGAACCTAGGATGAAAAGAAAGAATTTAATATCTGAGTGTTCACTGTGTGATAAGTATTTCCATATGTTTTATTTCATTTAATCTTCCCAGTAGGCCCTCCAAGTAGTTGGTATTGAGTTCATTCTTACAGAAGAATTGAGAGTAAGTAGGTTAAGTGGCTTGCACAAGGTCAGACTTTTAGAAAGTAGCAGAGCTGGGATTTACCCTGAGGTCTTCTGTTACACACAAGAGGAGGCAGGTCCGACCAAGTCACATATGCCCCCTAGAAATGAAGAAGTCAAGGAGCAGAGACTGAGAGAGGCTGCAGCATCTTCTTCTGTGGAAAAAATTTAAAAAGAAAATTTGAGCATGGCAATATGTAACAAAAGTTGCAAAGAATTTTCCATGCTCTTTGACTTAGCAATTCCATATCCAGGAATTTATCCTAAGAGAATAATCACAGAGACGCACAGAGGTGTTCACCAAGGCAAAGTTTATCATGGGAAAAACTAGGGATATCCTCATTGTCCACCAAGGACGTTGATTAAATCCACGATGGTATACATGTATGATGAAATGATACTCAGGTGATTGAAACGGTGCTGGGAGTCCCTGGGTGACCCACTCAGCTGCTCACTGAAAGCCTAGGCATTTGCATCCACCCAGAGGCACCCCAGAAGAAGGTCTGGTGTGCTGTGCTTCTGGACAAACAGACGCAGAGTTCGCTGTGACATATGTGGGATCACCGTGAGTTGAAATTGACTCAAAGGTTATACAAAAAAACCCAAACCCACTGCTGTCAAGTTGATTCTGACTCAGCAACCCTACAAGACACAGTAGTACTGCCCCATAGGGTTTCCAAGGTCGTACATTTTTACAGGAGCAGACTGCCGCATCTTTTTCCCTCAGAGCTGCTGGTGGGTTGGAACTGCTGATCTTTTGATTGGCAGCTGAGTGCTTTAACCACTGTGTCACAGTGGCTCCTTATTTTTGGTTATAGAAGACTGTACTGGGAGCTCTGGTGGCGTAGTGCCTAAGGCATTTGACTGCTAACCAGAAGGTAAGGTTGGTGGTTCAAGTCCATCAGCCACTCCTTGGAAGGAAGATGGGGCAATCTACCTTCCATAAAGATTTACCATGTCAGAAACCTAATAGAGGTCACTATGCGTTGGAGTTGACTAGATGACCGTGAGTTTGTTTTTTGGTTTATTGCTGGAAATATATATAATTATCATGGCTCCACCTTTATAAATAAATACATTATATATGATTCTATTCATAGAGAAAGGACTAGAAGTGTTTATGCCTATTGTAGATACATTTGTTTAGTAGTATTTATTTTTATCATCCTTTAAAAAAAAAACCCATGGTGATTATGTATTTTTTTGGTAATAAAAACTGTGTTCTTGAGGAAAAATCAACTGGAACCAGCACATTGTATAGTTGTAGGGAGCCCACCTCAGAGTGGTTTGAAGCTCTAAGCTGTAGGTTCTTCACGCGGCGTGTATTCAGTGGTGCTCTGTAGGTTCTTCACGCGGCGTGTATTCAGTGGTGCTCTGTAGGTTCTTCACGCGGCGTGTATTCAGTGGTGCTCTGTTTCAGGGGCTGCTGCCGGCACTGCTGAGTTGCTGCCCTCCCCCAGCAGCTCCCTGAACTGGACTGCTGGCCTCCCCACTGACAATGGCCACGACAGCGACCAGGTCTTCGAGTTCAATGGCACTCAAGCTGTGAGGATCCCAGACGGCGTCATCTCTGTCAACCCAAAAGAGCCTTTTATGATTTCTGTGTGGATGCGACACGGGCCATTTGGCAGGAAAAAAGAGACCATCCTTTGCAGTTCAGACAAAACAGGTACATAAATTTCACTATAATTGATGTCATACTTTTTTTTTTTTTAATTATGATTTGGGTGAAAGTTTATAGAGCAAACTTACTTTCCGTACAGCAGCTAACATACACTTTGTCTCATGACATTGATTGTAGTTTCCTATAATGCAACAGCTTCACTCCCACTTCCTCCCCATAGTTACCTCTTCCCTGTGTCCTTCTTTCCCATGCACTCCAGCCCTTTTGTTATCCCATGATTGATCTCTCTAAGGAGTGTATCTACCTAATGTAAATGTTTAGCTCATATGCCTGTCTTTTGTTTGGCTGGAAGCCACAGGAGTGAGGTCAATTCCAGTGATACCATACTTTTTCATGCCCCTAAGTCTGTGCTGTCCCATGCAGTGGTCCTGGGGCAAGGTGCTGTTTCTTTCCCTGTAGGGCTGGTAGGCAGTATTTGTTACTCTACATGTTGTGCTGGGGCCTTTGTCCTTATGACACAGCTTCGGTATTTGTTAGTTTTACTCAGTGAATTGTCAATGGTGATCATGGGCCTAGCTTCTAAGTAAAACGCAAGTGTATTTGCTTTTAAACCCTACCTTGGCCCAACTGGAGAGTTGATGTATGCAGATAAAATTGTGGCTTCAAAACCCATTAAAGAAAAGCTTTAATTTCTCCTTTGGGTCTTAAGTTAGCCACTTACCAGCAGGCACTGTCTTTGCAGATATGAACCGGCACCATTATTCACTCTATGTCCATGGTTGCCGGCTCATTTTCCTCCTCCGTCAGGATCCCTCAGAGGAGAAGAAATATAAGCCTGCAGAATTCCACTGGAAGTTGAATCAGGTGAGTGAATGGGAAACTCACTAATTACGAGCTTTTAAAAGAGGTGATTAACTAGGCACTGCGGCCTTCAAGGTGGTTGGCTGTTTAAACTCCACGTGTGTTTGTGAACTATGATTTGTGTGTCTCTGCCTTTCAACCGAAAGCCTAAGTTCTTGACATATGTGTATTTTAAACATAAAGTATTGACGTAGTTTGGGCACTTTAAGTTTAAAATACTGTTATAATTTATTGGAACAAGCACCAAAAAAAAAAAAAAAAACAACCCAAACTCACTGCCATCCAGTCAATTCTGACTCATAGCTACCCCTTTGGGTTTCCGAGGCTGTAAATCTTTACGGAAGTAGATTGCCCAGTTTTCCTTCTGAGGAGTGGCTGGTGGGTTTGAACCACCAACCTTCTGGTTAGCAGTCAAATGCCATAGGCAGTATGCCACCAGAGCTCCTTTGAAATAAGCACATGAACTTAAAAATTGAGGTTCAGACATTAGTATTTATTCATTCATTATTTAAGGTGTTGGCTCCTAAACTATGTGCCAAGGTGCCCTGGCCACCGCAGTAATTCAGGGGGTACTACAGGATTTTTAAACTTTTCAAGGAGCTAGCAACCTGTTGGGCACTACATAAACTAAGTCAAGATAGTTCGCACTAACAGCGTTAGAACACACTACGTTCCTTTCAATCATAGCTTTACAAAGCTGGCTTTCCTCTAATTGTTATAATCGAAAACAAGTATCATATAAATATTGGTGTTAGAGGAAATGAGGTAGCATCTAGGCGTGCTGTGCACTTAAGCCTTCTTATTGAAATCAAGACAAATCACTTCTCGTGATTTAGGGTTGGGGGAAGAAGGAGGCCTTTGGCCTTAGCTTGATTTTATTCCACTCATGAGGTCAGTGGCCAAGCTCTGACATCCTGCTGTGTGTACATTGCCTGTGGTTGCTTACTCGTAACATTGTCTGAAGCAGTTACAAGATAGGTAAAAAGTGTAGCAGCGTAAATGAGAAAGGAAAAAAAAACAGGTGACTGTGGAGAGAGAAAGTTGAGTCTCCAGTTGGTAGCTTTCATCTCTTACTAATGCAGTTTTTATTTACATGAATAATTTCTTTCTCAGAAACTTTTGCCACATTTTCCCCCCAAGAAACCAAAGAAAAGTACAGGTCAGAGAAAATTTGTTTGCAGTGTAGGTGGACATTTTAGGTGCAGTTCTGCTAAGAGTAACTGTAGTCTATATTTAGTTTTTATAGGTCTTCTGATTATATTAAAAAAAAAATCATTATGGAAAATTTCAGATACATGTAAAAGTAGACAGATTAGTATAAAGAATAGCTCCATGTACCCTTTACCCAGCTCTAACGGTTAACAACTATCAATCTCATTTCATCTCTGTTTCCACCCACTTACTCCCCTCTGTTAATAACTTTCAAGTAAATTCCCAATATTATAACATTTTATTTGTAAATATTTCATTATATGTATCTTTAAAAGATATGCATAATCTCAATACCCTTTTCACATCTTAGACTAATTAGCAATAATTTCTTAGTGTCACCAAGTATTCAGTCAGTGTTCAAATTTTAAATTATCTCATAATTGTTTTTTCGTTTTGAAATTTGTGTGAATCAGGATCCAAATAAAGGCCACCATTGTGATTGCTTGGTAAGCCTTTTGAGGTTTGGTGTTTTTTTTTTTGTTTGTTTGTTTTTAACTATGAATTTCCTAATTTTGTCATCTTTGTTCCTTCTAATACATTTGGTGATGAAGTCAAGGCTTTTTGTCCCATCAGGTTTCCCATAGTCTGGTTGGATCCCTGTGGTGTCTTTTGACCTGATCCTGTGTCCTCTTTACATCCTGTAAGATGACAGTAGGGTCTAAAGCCTTGCTCAGATTCAGGTTTATGTGTTTGTTTTGGCAATACTACTTTAAGGATGGCATTTCATTCTCCCATCAGGAGGCACATGTGTCTGGTTGTTTCTCTTTAGTGAGTTAAACCGCCATGATGCTGAGTACCACCAGTTTTTGTGGCACTGTTTCTGGTCATTTGACTGTAAGAGGGCTCAGGAAAGGCTCAGAGGAGCAATCATTCTTGAGTTCTTAAATGTTTAATAGTAGACCTTTATGCTGAAGGCCATTTTAGCTGGATATGAAATTTCTGGTTCATATTTAAGATTTTCAGTCATATTTTGGCTCTCATGGACTTCTTTTGTCTTCAGATTCAACTTGAAAAGGTATATAAGAGCAGTTGATGGTCTGTTCCACAATCAGTTCCTGGCCTTGTTTTTGGCTGAAAATATTGAGCTTCTCCATCACCTCTTGCCACAGATATAGTTGATCTGATTCCTGTGTACTCCATCTGGCAAAGTCCACATGTATAGCCACCATTTATGTTGTTGAAAAAAGGCATTTACAATGAATAAGTGATTGGTCTTACCAAATTCTATCATGTGATCAATCTCCATTTATCATGATGCTGCTTATTGATCCAGTTGTGAGGATTTTTGTTTTCTTTATGTTGTTGTTGTTGTTGTTATGTGCCGTTGAGTCGGCCCCGACTCATAGTGACCCCTCCTTGGGTTTCCGAGGCAGTATCACTACGGAAGTAGGATTGCCCAACCTTCCTTCCGAGGAGTG